AGCTTCGCAGTGAGAAAATTCTTGGAAATCAGGATGGTGAGAGATGCGCCGCAGGAATACGTATATGAGTATGTGATGTATTGAATTCTTCTCTTAGGAACAAGTTTTGTTTCATTGAGGAAGCTGATTAGTTATAGATTCATTGTGGATTAACAGTACTTATTGTGTTCCTCTGGAACCCTGTCCAAGAAGAACGGCTACTGGATTAGTGCCTCTGAGTTGTCAATCCCCTAAGAAAAAATTATGCAGCAGCCCGGGACTATTCCAGGAATCTGTCCATACTTTTAAGTGCATCCATGTTGTGTTTATTACAGTGAAGATTGCTTTCAGGGGAATACTTATAATACTGATAATTAGTGTATCACTTTGTTATTATGGCTTTCAGATTATGACATTGACCTCAGACTGATAGATATTGCTTTTTTCTCATCTGTATTGTTTAATCAAAGACCCCTTACTGTTGCACATTATTTATCAACTGTCCTAAACCGATGGGAGACAGAAAGTGGTAAAGGCCAAATGGGCTGGCCTGGTTGGATCTTAACTTTGAAGTTTCAATCCTGGCACAGCTCGGGGTCTCATGTTAAGGAATTAAGGACACGGCATTTTTGAAGCTACTTGGCGGGAACTATTTGGAAGCATTTGGCCATGGCCGTCCCTTTTGCTTTTGAATGTGTTTTTGGCAGTTGTGGTGTGGATGGGATGAAAATGTAGGAAACTTGGAATGAAAGAAATTTGAGGAGGACGTCATATGCCAAGCCGCTTAAAGTTTGTAAACTAAGAAAGGGGGTTGTTCTACAATAGCATTCAGTAAATTATGTTTTACAATGCTACTTACATGTATAAAAAATGTGATGGATTCATAACACTCGAGCTCTTGTGTCAAAAAATAAAGAAGTGATGGATTCGTAACACGTTTTGGATGGTTTGTGGGTACGTTGTAGGAATTTCCGTATTAAAAAATCAAACTCTAAACTAGGTAAAGCTTAAAGGGGTTATGTCCTATGTGGAAAAGAAATTGTCGACCAACTTTTCATAATGATTAAAGAAATGTTAATTGTCATTATGACTTAATCATCTTCATCAGAGCCTCATGTCCACGAATCATTAAACCTTTGATTTTCTCTACCTCTTTTGTCTTTCTTTTCATTTTTGTTTTGTGTTACTGGAACCTTGATTAAGAAAACAAACAAATACTTTTATCTTTTCCTATTTACAAAGAAGAAAGA